GTATGTATGGATCACTTGGGTTGTTACCAACATCTGGTAAAAATTTCATGTCATTAGCACCTCTAGTAATATATTTACTGAGAAAAATGGTGAYGTGTTCAATACTTATTTTACCCGCTGTATCACATGTAATAGGAAATACAGGTAACATGGTAAGCCAGTTTAAGTTTTTATTGTTACCTCAAACATGTTTGATCACATTTTTTATTAGTTTGGTCCAAACTTTTTTGCATTTTCTCTACTTGTATTTTGATATCTCATAAAAAATAAAATGTCTGTTTGGAAATGGTATAGTGCAAATCTTGTGTTTTGTTCACACGCCTAAAAGAGTTGTTGTTCCAGAAAAGACTAAGACAGTAAAAGCCTAGTTAAGAGTCATAACTTACAATTAAAGCAACAAATATTTAACTTGTAGACTGGGTAGCCTTTTCACAAAACTTCAAGTTAACTAAGACAACTGAAATATTGTGTACAAGTAGTGATAAAACCCAGGATCTGTAGAAAGCTGTCTATGATAACAATGCAGGAGAGACATGTAGAGCTGAATCCAATCCATTTTCCTTTCCCGTCAAATCAACAAGTTATTGTTTCACCACAGTGTGACTCATAGGGTTATTCTTTGAAATCAAGACAAATATAAAAACACCTAATGCCAGCTTTCTTAAATACTTCAGGCACACTTCTTTACTGTCTTTGTCCTCATCTAACTGAGCGACAAATAAAAAAAAACACCTAATGCCAGCTTTCTTAAATACGTCAGGCACACTTCTTTACTGTCTTTGTCCTCATCTAACTGAGCGCCAAGACGGATTATTATTGTGAAAAGGAAAATAACATGGGTGTGACTGTTGCGTGTGCAAAAGCACGTGCATGAACGGGAAAGCAACAATTGCTTAGGGTGTACAGTAACATAAGGTTCGTGCTTGGCTATGATAATAATAGGAAAAACATGATTACGGTGAAAGTTCACGCAGCAGGCACATATGCTGGCACAATGTCTGACAAAGCAGAAAAAGGGAATCCAAAAAGTGCAATGTCACTGCAAAACACCTATTTAACCTTTCCAGGTTTTGCAAAGTGCTCTACAATAGACAGACACTCATGCAGTGTTTTCTGTTATAGGTTTTACACACTATATACAGGATTTTTATATTCTCACTGATACACAGATAAATATATCAGAAATAGTGGGGGGACTCAGCGTCTTGCCTGAGGACATTTTGGCACACTGCAGGGGCTGGGGATTAAATCCCCGCTCTTTCAGCTGAAAGAAGACCCCCTTATCATTGAGTCAGAACACCCCAATAGATCAAACTCCAAAGACTTCATCTAAAAAGGGTAACATTTTTTTAACAAATACATTACTTACATTTGTGTATGCTTTTCCCATTCCAAGGGAGCCATTTCCAGTCTGAGCCATCAGTTGTCAAACAAAAACATATGTTTCACCTTATAAATACCCACTTCAAATATCTTCAAATGTTTCCAAGATCAAACAGACTTGGTTGTTCAACAAGTAAGAACTTAGTGTTGAGTTTTTAAAAATAGAAAAAAGGAAAAAAATGATGGAAAAATAAGCATAAGAGCAACCACAGAAGTGTGAAGCTGTGTCGAGCACATCTGTAGAAGTTTGACACGCAGACTTATTTTTTCCACCATGGTCTTAAGCCGTCAATAATAGGTGCGCCCTGTTTGATGTGTGTGCACAAAGTTGCTTCAATCTCTCGCTGTGTCAGCAGTGGATAAGGTTTCTAAACTGATTCACAAACTGCAGAAAACCAGAGTGAGCCAAACTAAACAGATTAGGAGCTGTGCTATGAAGTTTATACAGACGTGCATAAACATTTAAAGAGCTTGTTTGGCTGTGTGTACTATGCAGGAATCTGTATATAATAGTGTTTCTGATTAAAAAGATAAGGTTGACAATTTGACCTTTTTTTGTTACAAATTCAACAAACAGAACGAGTCAGAAGCAAGCCGATAACTCAACCACTGTTTCCAAAGTACTTTTTTCCCTGATTTGTCTTCTAACGTAAATTCTCACGGTCATTATCCATGACTAAGTCTATAAAAATGTTGCTAACTGCTTTGCAATCCAGGGTAGAAATACAAATATGTATTTTAAAATGCGTGCTGCTTCGACGGTGCATGCAACTTAAAGAAAATGCAAGTAAATCCTCAACAGTCTGCATCCTATCAGGTAACAAATCAGTTATTGTGCACCACACATTTTCCACATATCAGTTACAGACATAAAACCTGGTTTGATAACCAGTAACAGCTTCATTTGGGCTCCTCTGGTCAGAGAACGTAAATCACCAACAGACGTGACCGTGGAATAAGATCTGAGACCAGGCATTTGTAAATGTCAAGAGAAAGCTCTAAAGCAGGGCTATTCAACTGGCGGCCCGCGGGCCACATCCGGCCTGCGAGTGACCAAAGTTCGACCCGCCAATTGGTTCATTCATCTCTTAAGCCCAAACCCCCAGTTTTCTACTTTAATTACTCTAAGTTCTTTTAGTTAAACATAGACATGTTTGGTATCTACAGAAACGTCAGAATCTTGGCTAGAAGCTGGTAAAAAACCATTTCTATAAATAGGCCTGTCGCGATAGTCAATAAATCAATTAATTGCACGATAACTTTTTTGAGGTCGGTAAAAAAAAGACGGCGATAAGTTTCATTTTCCTGCTTGTTTTTTTTTTTACTTCGTCTCTCTCCCTCTCTGTGCTCCGCTACACAGGAGCTCAGCTGACCCCTCCCCTCCTGTTTTCTTAGTGTGGGAGGAGTCAACTCTCGCTTTAGCGTGATAGCTCGTTGCTAAATAAACGCTTCAAAGCAGAACGCGGCTGCAGAAGTGTCGGGAGCACTAGAGCCTGGATTTCGCTGCGGAGGGAGGGAGAGAGACGGAGTGAGACAGAGAGACAGAGAGAGAGAGAGAAAGAGACAGAGAGAGAGAGAGACAGAGAGAGAGAGAGAGAGAGAGAGACAGGGAGAGAGAGAGACGGAGTGAGACAGAGAGACAGAGAGAGAGAGAGAGAGAGAGAGAGAGAGAGAAAGAGACAGAGACAGAGAGAGAGAGAC